ATGGTTTTCCAGTAGTCATGTATGGATGTGAGAGTTGGACCGTAAGGAAAACTGAGCACTGAAGATTGATGCTTTTGAACTGTGGAGTTGGAGAAGACTCTTGAGAGTCCCTTGGACTGCAAAGAGATCAAACCAGTCAATCTTAAAGGAAGTCCACCCTGAATACTCATTGGAAGGGCTGATGCTGAAGCTGAAGCTCCAATGCTTTGGCCACTTGACACAAAAACTCATTGGAAAATGCCCTGCTACTGGGAAAGACTGAAGGCAGAAGGAGAAGCAGGCAACAGAGGATGAGATGGTTGGATGGCATCACCGATTCAGTGGACATAAACTTGGGCAGGCTCCGGGAGAGGGTGACAGATAGGAAAGGCTGGTGTGCTGCAGTGCATGGGGTCATGAGTAGTCAGACACAACCTGGCAACTGAACAATAGCAACAATCCTCAGAGTAAACATTCTCCTCTTTTTCAGTAGGGTTTCCTCCATTTGGAGAGGACGAAGCAGTTATTCAGTGAGCCCCCTGAGTTCACTGAGTAAGGGTAGGTGGGCCGCAGCAGGTGGGCAGGCAGACCTCTATCACGGATCACTTGGATTAAAGACCTAGTTTGTTTCCTCAGCGACTCTCAATGTGGTTGAGCTGAGAGGGGCTCACGCAGCACCTTTCTCTTCCCCAGGGAGGAAATCAGCTACATAACTGGTGGCTGTGGAGAAATAAATGCTGAAAAACCATTGCTTTCCAGTTTATCTTTTAAAACATTTATGAAAGCAAAACACATTTAAGAATATTTTTTGAAATGGTGAAAATCATCTCTGGACCATATCCATCATCTGTTGTTAGCATCTGATGCATTTTTTAAAAAGGTTTTTTCCTTACATGTTTTTCTAACTATTGATATAGATATGATGATGCAGAATACGGAGTCTTATATCCTGTTTTCCCCACTTAACATAATATCATAAGTATGTCATTTTATATTGTTTCGATTGAAAGATTTTAAGTACAAGAGTATGGTGACATACTAAAACTTGCATTTTATGGATCTGTTTTCACACATCTAGGTACCACTAACCTAGATGGAGGTTAATGGTGTCCCCAGACATGCTTCTAGTTTTCATCTTGGAAAATAGCCAGATGTGTTTGCAGTCCATACTTGGCATTTATCCTGACTGACCTCCTTGCATATTTGGTTGCTGTGCTATTTATGTTAATATCTGCTTTCTCAGATATGTCTCTCTGTTTCTGTTTCTCTAGTACACTCTTAATACATATTTAAAATAAATGTCATAAAATAAATGATGATATTTTATTCATTTTTGCATTTTGTAGGCTCTTAGTAAATATTTGTTATAAAACATTCTCAAACCTTTAAATAGCCTTTAAAAAGTAGATACTTCTCTCCACACACAAAATAATAATGAATGAAAGTGAAAGAAATCAAATTAAAAGAGGAAATGTGTATGGTTCCATGATCTGAAACTCTGAAAATATGGTACAATGCAACAGAGATGAAAGACTCTAAGATACACAGATCTGGCCGCATAGTCATAAGTATTACAATGTGCAAGTCTGCTGTCCTATGAGTCTTTCTACACCAACCCACAGGACTGTTCCTCAACCTCTCTTTTGGTTTTGTCTGGTCTATTAAGTGGATTGTTCTTTTTTGTAGAAGTTAAACATACACTGCTGAGAGAAAATGGAAACTGGAATTAAAACAGAAAATTATAAGAAAACTTAAATGAGTTGAAAATTTCTAGTCCAGATGCAAAAGGATCTTTGTTCTCAGAAAAAGGAGGAAAATGTGATCTCTAGAAACCAATGTGATCTCTAGGATATGCTTGAGATCTCCTAAAAGGTTGTATTTTAGAAACACAACTAAGAAAGGTAATCACTAAAAAGAGAAAAAGAAGGTCCAGCAGGGTTATTCATGAATAAACCAGACCAGTTCAATGTGTACTGGCTGAGACATCCGACTCAAGAGAAGTCAAGGTTTTGGTTGACCTAATACAGTACCTAATGAGGAATTAATGGCATGGGACATCTGTTTAAAACATTAAAATGTTCTCAGGTGTATTAGTAGAATATGATGACAGGCCAGTGGAAGGAGGAACTCTGTTGCCCTCTGAGCTGTGTATTCCATTTTGAGTGGTATGGTCTATTCCAGGTGCCATATTTTGAAAGAGATATTTCAAATATAAGAATACCATCAGTGGGAACAACAAAATTAGAAATTAAGAAAAATGCTTGAGATAATGGAATATTTAGCCTGGGAAAGGAGAGCACAGCTGTTTTCAAATGCTTGAAGGGATGTTAGAGAAGATAAAAACTTAATTTGTTTGGCTACAGAACCACAATCATTACATGGAGGTTATAGGGATGCGGTTTTACTTCATTATAACCAATGGCTTTCTAACAACTAGAGCCTGCCCTATTGCAACACTGGAATGTTACAAGCAAATTGAACATTCCATTGAACATTCAATGGAATGTTCAAGCAAAATCTGTAAGTCCACATCAAGTATCATATAAAAAGATGCATGTATTAAGATGGCAATTGGACCAGCTGGTCTCTAGGGCTTCTGATTGCTATAGTTCTAAGTTAGTTGTTCAGAATTTAGGATCTACTTTCCTTTAGAATCTAAATGGATTTTTGTATCCAATGTCTAAAAAGCTTAGTTTACCCACAGTGTTTTTAATTCTTTGGGACAGATATGAAGGATAACAGTTCAGAGAGTGGTATATGAGGGAGAAGGGGTAGGGATCATTCCCCTTCCCTTTGCTGGGAGAAGTCTAGCATAAAGCCATATTAAGGAAGCATTAAGGAAATATTCTAAAATCCATGTGGCAGATCTCAGTCATGTCTTAGGAGAAAAGCAACTCCTCGAACTAATCCCCAAATGACTGATAGCCTTTCACTTGCTAGCTTTGCTGTGTGATTAGAGGTATTTTCTTCTGTGAAATGGGGCTAATAATACTTCCAACAATATAAATAAACAAGAAATGATTAACAACTTGTGGAAATCAAATGAAATAATGGATATACTATGCCTAGCAGAGTACTGGACACATACTAGTTCCTTAGTAAATGCAGAGATTTCTCACAGTATCTGGGGCTTCCCTGGTGGTTCAGTGGTAAAGAATCCACCTTGTCAATGCAGGAGACAGGGCTCAATCCCTGGTCTGGTAAGATCCCGCATGCTGCAGGACAATTAAGCCCGTGAGTCACAACCACTGAGCCTGCGCTCTAGAGCCTAGAGCCCAGGAATCACAACTACTGAGCCCATGGGCTGCAACAGCTGAAGCCCGAATGCCATGGGGCCCATGCTCCACAGCCAGAGACGTCACCGAAGTAAGAAACTCATGAACCGCAACTGGAGTGTAGCCCCCTTTCCCTGCAGCTAGAGAGAAGCCCACAAGAAAGAACCTTCCTAAAAAAAAAAGAAAGAACCTTCCTACAGGATCTATGTGTGCATACCTTTCCCACTTTTCAAAGAACTTCCACATATATTATGTCATTTGATTCATCATGAGGCAATGTAGGTATAATACCCACATTTTACAGAGGAGGAAATGATGCTTGGAATAAATGGCCAGTTTGGCTTCTCATTTAATAAATATTTCTAGTGACAATGAGCACACCGCTCTACAGAACAACTAGTTCCATCATGAAAACTAACGAAAAGAACAAAATGTTGGAGAGTTTCAAAATCGGCACTCAAGGTAACATATTCCACCTGTCAACTGGCAAATATCATAAGTATGGTGTATGTGCTGTCAAGAGCAGTGTGAGATCTTTGGCGGTGAGAATGAAAATTTGTACAACCTTTGGAAAAAGCAATTCCTGTATATCTGTTGAGAATCTTGGGTATATTCTTCACTTGCCCTCATAATTACCCATTGAAGAATCTATTTTAAGAACATCATTAGCAACAATGAGAAAGTCTCACGTACAGAAGAGCTGATTACAATAGTTTCTAGCGAAAAACTGGAAATGCTCTAAATGGTAACCGCTCAATGAGGAAGACATAGAACGAGCTGTAAAGACGAAGTGTCACCAGAAAAAGGAATCAGTTTGTATAATAAGACCCACTGGATTAAAATTCCTGTCCTGCCACTGATGGACTGTGTCTGGGTTTATTATTTAGGCTAACTAATTCTTAATTCACTCAGCTAAAAATGGGGTGATGATATATATGTATACATTTTAGACAGCTATTAGGAAAATTACTTATAATAGTGAATAGAAATTGTTTAAAAGCTGTCACTATGATCATTACTATATGGTAATTATGACATTTATTTATTTATTACGCCATTTATTAAATGTTTAGTATAATGCTAGGTGTTTAACAAACATCTTTTAAAAAACTCTATACTCACTGTACAGATGAGGTAACTGAGGGGAACAGATTGGCTAAGTAGCTTTTCCAATTCATACAGATGTGCTGGGATTTGAACCCAGGCAGTCTGACTCTGGACCCATGTTCTAATCAAGGATATACTTACTACCTTCCATTCTATGAAGTATTTTTTATGTCTCTCTCACACAAACATACATATACATATACATCATATTAGACACACACATTGGCAAGATGTTTAGAAACAGTTTTACCTATATACAACTGGTTTTTAAAAACAGAATACCAAGTTGTATACATGATAGAAGATCTACTGTGTAAAATGCAAATAAAAGGGGCTGAAAATTGATATGATTACCTCTGGGTGGTGCTAGTAGAGGTGAATTTTATTCTTGATTCCGCAGACATTTCTGTGCTAACTTTTCAACTGGAAACATGTGCCACTTTATAAACAAGAAGATTAAAGGAGACCAGAAATATAAATGAAAGTAATTCAAAGAAGACGTAAGGAGAATAGGTTTTCATAGACAGGTGACCCTTCCTCTAGTTCTAGCAGTATACTAGATGGCCTGAGTAACCTTCCTTCAGAAAGTGGCTACAAACACGGGGTAAAATGAGAAAGCAATGGGACATAATCACTTACGTGTGTCAGAAATGGGCTGGGCGCGGGAACCGCCGGCGTGGGAACCGGCTCTGGCTGGATGACCGTTTCAGCCGTGACGGCTCCAGCCTCCTCCTCAGGGGGTTCTTGATGGGCACAGCGACCAATGTCTGCGTTTTTGAAGGATATAGGCTGTGCAAAGTCCATAGGGCTAAGGGAACATAATAAACATTCAATACTTTCTCTTATCTTTCATTGTCCTGCTTCCCTTCTGTTACATCACATTTCCCCTTTCCCCCTTCAAAGGTCATCAGTGCAATTAAACAAAAATTTGACTTGAAGATCTTCATTGTTTCCCCCCTCCCTCACCCCATGGTTTTGGATAATGTAGATGCCATAGTGATCCTCCTATGAAAAAAAAATAGTAACAAGGAGATTCACTTACACAGAGTTTATAACAAGGTTCCATATACAGCCTTCAAAGGGAGGAATATTTCTGAGTGGGGAAGGTTGAAATTCAGGTGGAGCACCCCCAACGAAAAGCTTTTTAACTTCTATTGCCTGTTCTACTGTCAGATTTTGCATATGCCTTCTGTCTTCATCCACTTGAACAGTAAACATGCTGATAAAATATTGAAAGTAAACAAGTGTAAAACACACAATGTCCTATACAACCAGAAATCAAACTCTCTCCCGCCACCCCGCACCCCTTCTTCCAGTAGCTTTTAAGAGAGCCAAATCTGATGATTAGGAATTTGACCCTTAGCAAATGATATTGTTTCTCAGGATATTGTCCCTCTGCCTTCCTTGTTAGCTCTCCCAGAGAGTTTCTTGAAATAAGGCAGTTGTGTAGCTACAGCATTAGCCGCTGGTGGTGTTGAGAACAGTGGTCCTACACATGAGCCGGTGGAGTGGAGGCTTCCATGTGGGGTTGTAATGTCCTACACATGAGCCGGTGGAGTGGAGGCTTCCATGTGGGGTTGTAATGATGTCCTACACATGAGCCGGTGGAGTGGAGGCTTCCATGTGGGGTTGTAATGATGTCCTACACAGGAGCCGGTGGAGTGGAGGCTTCCATGTGGGGTTGTAATGTCTAATCGTATGAGGCTCCGTCGGTTCCGCACAGCATGGGGACACATTTTGTTTGGCTCTTTATTTCTTGGTTTGTGCCAGTTATTATCTTCTTGCTAGGGGACAAGCTATACCCCTGAGAGCTTAGATTGTAGGAATCAACAGCAAACGCTTAGAGGATGTTTTAAAAAGAATGTAGCTGCTGGCTTTTGAATGGAAGAGGCAGGCTAGAACGCCACGCTAACTGTTCTCTGCAGTGCTTTTCTTTAGTGGCTGTTTCATTACTGTCCTTAATTTGCCTATGAGAGATAACTTACACATTACTAATTGAGAACCTCACGCTACTTATTCACTCTGTGGATCCTGGGGAAGAGAATCAGGAGGCAAAGAAATCTGCTGATGAAAATGACCAAAGGCATTTTCTCTTTTGTTCTAGAAGTAGGTTTTAAACTTCAGTCCCAATAGTCAGCATGGGGCTCTTAGTCATAAGTGTCAGTCAATAGCTCGAGGATCATGAATGGGGATTACTACAAACTAATTCACATCTGGAGAGAAAATCTGAAATATTTAGGCAGCAAACTCAGTTCTAAAATGCTATGTTACTTGATTTTATAAAGAAGAAAAATCACACATAGAGTTAGAAACAAAAAATCAGGGTTAAGATGCTCTGAAATGGCACTGAACAACTGGCCCACGTTGGGACAATTCAAATTTAAGAGAATAGAAGAAAGAACAGACATTGCTGTGGCTTAAAATGTCATTGCTCAGGAAGTATGGAGGGAGCAGATTGGATTTAGTTTCAAAGGCAAAATAGGGAGAACGATATATTGACGTTTTGCCAGACTCCAGAAGACTGTGTTGGCAAAATTCAAGAGTTCAACCTTATTGCTAAGAATGTGGGTGGTTTTATGAGACATTTAGAAAACCACTCACTTCTGGATATGTGTGACTCATTAAGAAGTACCCCTCAGACTCCCTCTTTTTTTCTCCATTTGCTGAAAGTAATCTCCTACGTGCCAGTGTTCCTCAGGGTTTGAATGAAGGGTTTAAGCCACTATTAAATACTGTCCGAGGAGAGCAAGTCTCTGCTTTTGATCAGAATTTTTAAAGGTCCAGAGTCTCTCGTCTTTCTTATGTGGACCCTCTCTAGTCTGGTTCTGCCCCTCAAGACCACAGCAATGGCCCTTTCTTACTGGGTCACAGGGTGCAGATGTAGAATGAGCATGAATGTTCAGAAGAAACAGGCTGGACTTAAGCACTAGTATGAACTACCTGCCAATGCAGGAGACATAAGAGACACAGGTTCCATCCCTGGGAAGATCTCCTGGAGGAGGAAATGGCAGCCCACTCCAGTGCCCTTGCCTAGAGAATCCTCATGAACAGAGGAGTCTGGCAGGCTACAGTCCATGGAGTTATAGAGTAGGACACAACTGAAGCGACTTAGCATGCATGAAAGCTTAGTAGCTGTGTGACCTTGGGTTAGTTATTTAATCTTGCTCAGCCTCATTCATTCTTCTATAAAAGGAGGATAAGAACCCCTACTCTGAACCATGGAAAACATTAACTAAGGCATTGCACTGAGGTTATATTACTTAATAAGGACACTGTTAAGAGACTATAGTTGAATACAGTTTGTATTTTACATCCTAGGAGCATCAAATCTAGGTCATTCATTTAGCACTTTGTAAAGAGGGATATTACATGTCCTTTATGATTCTGGTGTGTTTTTTAAAAAATATTTATTCAAAAATTCTTTACTGTGGACCTACCAAATAGCATTATAAGAATCATTACAATACTATTAGTATTGTGATATGTCAGCTGTATTTCCTTAAAATTTCAATAGTTGAATCTTGAAGTTTTATAATATTTTATTACTTATATTCAATTTATTTGTATGAAATATTGATCTAAGATTTTTTTTTTCAAATCACCATCAAATGAACTGCATACATGGTAAAGATATTAAGAGGAGTGTGGTGAAATTTACAATTTACATGAGAAACAAAACCTGAAATTTTTAAATTGAACATATTTTGGATGGTTAGAAAGAAATAATTGGGTTGCAGTATTCAAATCTTGGTCCAATTCTGGAAACCTCAAATTACTCCTGAAATATTTTGCTCCAATTTTGTGGTCGTTAGCCTAATTCTGTACCTGTGTGAAGAATCCTTTTCTGGAGAATACCTATGTGCCTAAGCTTCTCCTCCAGGCTCTTAGGGTTTATTATTTTTATCCAGTTAGAACTACTGGCTATTTAGGTGGACTCCAGGAGGAAGATCAGAGGGCCAAGCAGTTATACAAGGCAGAAGATCACTAGAGTACTAGGGAATTAGACACCAAATAAAGGAGGTGAGATTTTTGCAGAGGAAGGAGTAGAGAAGGAAAGAAGATGAGAAAGGAAGCATAAAGAGAGTAAATACTGAAAAGCTTGCCTCTCAGTTTGGTAAAAATCAACTAATTTTATGAGGCAATATTAAAGGTATTAAAGTTACTATCTTATCCAAAGTTTGAAGAAAGGAAACAATTGACATCTACAGTCTAAATAGTGTTGGAATAAAGCGAGTATTTCCAAGTTAACAAGAGTATCATCATCACCATCAAGTAATACAAACCTCTGAGGTCACAAACAGCGTAAGAATAAATACCTAGCAAGCACAGATAGAAGTGTTAAAGTCAAGTATATCTGGGTTTAAATCCTGCCTGTTATTTACTAGCTATGTGATTTGGGGTAAATTAGTTAATATTTCCTCATCTATGATGAAAGGATATGAATACATATCTCATATATATTTAGAATAACTAAAGGACATAATTTTTGTAGTATTTGACAAAGGGCATGCCATAAAATTGATATGAAGCATTAAAATATGTTTCTAGGTGATGTTCTTAGGGTCATTAGTGATCTCCTGTTAATCAGTTAATTGAAGCACTTGCTTAAAGGATAGGTGATAATTGTTTTTTGACCTCAGAGTGCTGAATGAGACATTACAGTGGCAAATGAGCTCCTGTTTTGCCACCGAGTGTAGTGACAACACACTAATATGTCCAATACATTATCCTTTAATTAATAGCAAATGGCACAACAGTTTGTTTATATGGCCAATTAACTGAATGACCAGTTTTCAAGGATGTACTACACCGAGCTTAATCAAATAAAGGTTGGATTGATGGCCAACAGCTGTGACGCTGGCATACTAAAATACCCTTCTTGAAGAGACACCTGTTAAAAGGACACCTTAGCATAACATCAAAATGCACTTGGGAATGTCAGAATCCTTTCTCTACAAAATAACATATTTTGGATGATTTTTTGGGCCAACTATATTTCTCAGATTTGCATTTGCTTCTTGAAATAATTTAAAAACTTAAAAAGTTTTTCCTACAATGAGAAGGACTAACATTTGGCAAAGGACCTGAAGTTAAGTCTAGAAGACTTGCAAAATCAGTATTCTAGAGCATTCCTTAAGGTTCAAATGAGAAAATTCAGTTTGCATTTCTCTTCAGAGACCCTGACTGCAATATTGGCCTAGAAGATTAGTAAATGTTCTTAGTTTGTCCAAATATTGATCCCTCATTTGTCTTAATCATGGTTTCTAAACATTTCAGTTAGTAGATACTCAGTAATTGACTGAGCATCAATTCGGCCCAGAAGATAATGCTCTATATAACAGAAAAATGCAAAGCTTGGAAAGTTTCTTTACTTAGAAGACATTCTTATTACTTATTTAAACTATTGTCCACACAAGGGGATGATTAGAAAATGGTGGTCTTTAAGTAAAGAATAACATCTGCTTGCTTGAACTTTTGCTACACCTTCATACTGTTTTATATTTAAAAGTATTCTCTATGTTTTGAGGTTTCATCAAGTTTGATTTCCAGTTCTTTTCTATGTTTTCAGCCTAATAAATGGGTCGTTGGCTTGGAGGTCTGGAATCTCTGGACTTCTGTTTTTCTCCAATTGTCTTTCCAAACTCACTGGGCTTATGTGCTTCGTGTCTCAGCCGTGTCTGACTCTTTGTGACCCATGGGCTGCAGCCCACCAGGCTCCTCTGTCCATGGGATTTTTCAGGCAAGAATACTGGAGTGGGCTGCCATTTCCTTCTCCAGGGGATCTAACCCACCCAGCGACAGAATGTGCATCTCCTGTGTCTCCTGCATTGCGGGGGGATTCTTTACCTGCTGAACCATCAGGGAAGCCCCTTACCTGAGCTGTCATACACTTTGATTGGAAAAAAAAAATCAAATAACAACAAATGACTTCGTCAATAAAGTAAGTACAAAGTACTTCAGCATTCTGAAAACAAGACATCAGCTCATAACACTAACAGCCAACTCCCTGAGTCAGGGCTGGGAAGCAAGTGCTCTAGGGGATCAGCGGAGGGGCATCCTCTGCGCACCGGTGGCAAGCCAGCAGCCCCTGCCCCTCTCCGCCCCGGGCCCTCACGGCGCTGCGGGCTGCGCTCCGCGGCTCCTGCAGCAGCTGCCCTGCTCTGATTTGGGACAGATTTCTAAGCAGCTGCCATAACTGCATTGGAACCCGAATGAAATGGCAGCTGCCAAAGGCTGCGGGCCCCAGCTGAGCTGCTCTGCGCCTTTCACCACCCACATATGCTTTATTTGAGAGGTGCAGAGGGAGAGATTTTTCTTAGCTATGGCTTCAGAAGATGCAGTTGGTGTTCTCGAGGTGGAGAGGACAGCTGCTCAGCAGAAAAAACGTGAAGAATAAAACTCCTAAGGGTCAAGGTAAATGAAGTTCCCAAAGCATGAAATATAAAGAAGATAAAACTGAGCTACTTGACACTTGAGCAATGCGTCATCTGTCCATACACACAAAGGTCCAGTTAAGGTGAGCAAAGACGGTCGTGTTGGTTACGACAGGACAGTCAGTGGCCAGAACTATCGTTACCCTCTAGTTCTCTCTACATGGACAGAATGCTCTCTCCCGTCGTGAAACAGATTCGGCTCCGGTTTGACGACAATTTTCCTCATGGTGCGCGCCCCGGCGGAGAGATGCAGTTCCAGACGGCCCCTGTTCAGGAAGATCGCATAATAGACCTGCAACGGCAAACAGTTATTGAAGACGAAAGCAGTCTCATCTACGACTTAGCTTAGTTACCTGAAAGAATGGCAGATTTCATCTGCTCTGAGAGCTTACCTGAGAAGTTAAGACTCAATATTTTCTTACAGAGTATTTACAGCAGCTGGAAATAGCTTTACAATCACTTACTATTTTTGCTTGTTACGTGATGTGGAAAGGGAGATAGTAAGAGAGCCATCTCTGCAAAGCAGATTTGCGATGCTGAAAGGAACAGCTGTGCTCGCATTGGGCTTCTAATTCACAAAACCCATCAGGAAATAAAGCGGGTTAATAAAACCCCTCTCCGTTGCATTCACAGATGGACAGCTAGCTTCTGGAAATCAGGTCTCACTCCCAACCTCAGGGCATTTTGAGTGTTAGATTTCAATTCCTTCTCCAGGCTGGTGGAATGGATTGCCATCACCAACACGTAACTTGCCCCCCACATTTAGAAAGAAGGCAGACAATTTTTCATCCACAAACACGACTGCTTTCTTCTTGCCACTGTTACTATAGCAACAGCGTGGTTTCTGAGATCAGTTTATGAACCCCAGGGAGCTTGAATGCAGTCCTCATGCCCAAAGCTGACACCACTGTGTGCTCCTTTTCTAGTGGAGCATGGGGCCACCTGCTACACTCCATCACCTGGTCCTCCGCCAGTCACCACAAGAAGGTGGAGATGGTTTCACTGAAACATCACAATGTCTCCAATAGTTTACAAAACCGGCAGTGCTGCTGCGTGTCCAATGCAAAATGGCCCGAGGACCTGGATTAGTGTCGCCATCCATCAGAAAGGGGTGACTGCCATTTAAGCAAAGTTTTTTTTTTTTTAGCTGATTGAGATCTCAAACCCCATTAGCAGAACATAATCACAAATGACCCTGTGGGTATCAAAACTGGTAGCTTTGAAAAATAAAGTATTTCATTTAACCAGTTTGATTCTATAAAAGAAATGAATTATTTAACATTGTTTCCTCTTTCAGACAGCAATAACAGTGAGATTTTAAAACAGATATTCATTAAAATGTTGAAGCATTAACATGTTATTTCTAATTTGTACTATAGCACTTAATATTTTCTCATTTTAATTGTTTTAATGAAAAAGTTTTATTTTAAGAACTATCCTGACAACTGATGATTCGAGCCTATTTATTTGGTTCTGATGAGGAGAAATCTGAAACTGAAAGGCAGTATTTAATTACTTGACTGTGATCCAGGGTACAGATATCCTTTAGTGAAAATCTATCTCAGAATGTTTAATCTGGTCCTTTTATTATAATAACTGGCTTAATTGTAGCAGTGAGAAAATAAAATTTTTTTTTATTAAAAGGCAAAGACGTTAGGAGAACATTTATTTTTATTATACTTATTCTGTACTTGTTATGCACAATATAAAATGAGATAAAACACCACTTCTCTCTCTAATCTTCAAAAAAAATGTTTTCTGTTTTTTTCTTCCCAAAGAAATCCTTTTCTTCCTTAAGGCCATAGGTTATCCTTTTACATTTTCTTCTAAACATTTTAAAGCTTTTTCCTTTCATACTTAAGACTTTAATTCATTGGGAATTAATTTTTCTGTTTAACATGAAATAGAAATTACTTCATTTTTTGGTTTTCCTAAATGGATAGCGAATTGCCCCAGAATCATTCACTTAAAGGTTCACTTTTTTCCCTGATTATGTGCAATGCCACCTACTACCAAATGTCATTTCCATCTATACTTGGCTCTCTCTTACGTTCCACTGACACAGTTATCCATCTATTAATACTACACAACCATGATTCAAAACTGCTAGAACAGTCCTCCAACTTATTCTATTTCATAACTTTCTTGGACATTTGATATCAATTTTAGAATTAATTTGTCCTGATTTACAAAAAGATAAGGTGGTATTTTCATTGAAGGCAAACCTACATATCATTTTATGGAGAATTGAAATATTTTTAACATGGAGTCTTTCCATTAACATAATGACTTATTAAGTAGTCTGTTATACATTTTCAATAAATTTTATAATTTTTCTAGTATAGGTCTCATGGTTTTTTGTTTTATTTCTTGTTAAATTATATATTTTTTCTTGTACTATATTTACTCACTCTTTTCTTATTGCATCAGCTAAGACCAGTATAGCAATAATATTTATCTTTTCTTGGGCTTGATTTTATAGGAAATGTTTATGTTTTCTTATCATCCTCTTTTTAATTTACTAAGTCTTTTGTTATTGTTATTTTTGATCAGGAATGGGTGTTTAGTTTAGCTACAGGTGTTCTCTACATCTATCAAGATGATTATATTATTTTCAGACATTTTAATATAAAACCACCTTTGTGTTCTGCAGATAATGCAAGTTACTCATGGATGTACATTTCTGGATTTTATTTGTCAGCACAGGTGAATGACATGAGGCACTGGCCCTCCACATAGTCAAAAATCAGAGCATAAGTTATAGTTGGCCCTCCATTTACACAGTTCCTCCATATCAGATATTCTGTATCCTCAGTTTCAATCAACCTTGGACCGTGTAATACTGTTGCATTTACTATTGAAGAAAAAATTCACACACAAGTGGACCTGTGTGATCAAACTCATATTTTCAAGGGTCAATTGTATTTTGTTATTTTCTTTTTTTGGTGGTGGGGAGAAAATAATATTATTATATACTATTATTAAATAGTGGTTTAAATTATTAAACTTTAAATGCTAAAAGTGATTTTAAAAATCCTATAATCACAAACAGTACAACCTGATTTACTGGGATGCATGCATATTTATAAAGGACATATTTATAATGTACTCTATGCTTTGGTCATGGCAGACTAGGTAATTCCTAAGAATCCTTTCACTGAGAAAAACTAGATTAAATGGAAAAAAATGCGTTATCTTTGAAAGTATGATTGAAAGTATTGGAGGAATATCCATGCAGTAAAGACTTATGGTGCCTAGATGTGGACACCTAAGAGATGGCTTTAATTGAATTGAATGGCTAGAGGGTATGAAAACAGACGTCCACAAAGCAGACTCTGTGTAGGCTTAATTTTTATGTCACTATTGTCCACGCCTGCGCTGGTTGTGTTCTTTTTGTCTTCTCCTACCCAGATTAAATTATATATTTTTTCTTGTACTATATTTACTCACTCTTTTCTTATTGCATCAGCTAAGACCAGTATAGCAATAATATTTATCTTTTCTTGGGCTTGATTTTATAGGAAATGTTTATGTTTTCTTATCATCCTCTTTTTAATTTACTAAGTCTTTTGTTATTGTTATTTTTGATCAGGAATGGGTGTTTAGTTTAGCTACAGGTGTTCTCTACATCTATCAAGATGATTATATTATTTTCAGACATTTTAATATAAAACCACCTTTGTGTTCTGCAGATAATGCAAGTTACTCATGGATGTACATTTCTGGATTTTATTTGTCAGCACAGGTGAATGACATGAGGCACTGGCCCTCCACATAGTCAAAAATCAGAGCATAAGTTATAGTTGGCCCTCCATTTACACAGTTCCTCCATATCAGATATTCTGTATCCTCAGTTTCAATCAACCTTGGACCGTGTAATACTGTTGCATTTACTATTGAAGAAAAAATTCACACACAAGTGGACCTGTGTGATCAAACTCATATTTTCAAGGGTCAATTGTATTTTGTTATTTTCTTTTTTTGGTGGTGGGGAGAAAATAATATTATTATATACTATTATTAAATAGTGGTTTAAATTATTAAACTTTAAATGCTAAAAGTGATTTTAAAAATCCTATAATCACAAACAGTACAACCTGATTTACTGGGATGCATGCATATTTATAAAGGACATATTTATAATGTACTCTATGCTTTGGTCATGGCAGACTAGGTAATTCCTAAGAATCCTTTCACTGAGAAAAACTAGATTAAATGGAAAAAAATGCGTTATCTTTGAAAGTATGATTGAAAGTATTGGAGGAATATCCATGCAGTAAAGACTTATGGTGCCTAGATGTGGACACCTAAGAGATGGCTTTAATTGAATTGAATGGCTAGAGGGTATGAAAACAGACGTCCACAAAGCAGACTCTGTGTAGGCTTAATTTTTATGTCACTATTGTCCACGCCTGCGCTGGTTGTGTTCTTTTTGTCTTCTCCTACCCAGGTCCATTCTTTGCTTTCTTGGTGTCCAGAGAAGGTGGAGCAGTTAGGCACCAACAGACTGCATCATTAGCTAGTGAAACTGATCCAAAGGGAATTTAAATTTAAGGGTCCTCTTGGATATCTACAGAGTTGGTAGGAAACTGGACTTACAAGAGAATAATAATACAATTTGAATATATTTTAAGCTTCCTCTCTTTATATGTTCAAACTCACATGACATACGGATGTAAATACAAGTGCACCTACACCTAGAACTGACCAACAGAAAAATCCTTGGGGAGATAATTGTCCTAAGAAGATGATAATAGAAATAAATGATACAAATTAAAAAAATACAAAGACAATTTATAAATCCTAAATGCCTCTCCTGAGTCTCTTTGTAAAATAATTGTTTATGTAGGCATCAGGTAAAATGCATTATTAATTAGTTATTGTATTTTTATTAATTAGTATTTTTATTATATTAATTAGGTGTTGTAATTACCTGTCCAGTTTGCCGTCGTTTTCTCCTAGGTGGAATGGGTGTCCCTCCACTTCCCAAGAGAATGATCCCAGACTCATTCTTGGTGCTGAAGGACAGATTGATTTCTGTTCCAACATCAATAGGCACAGGAGACAGCTCTACAAAACCAGGCTTGGGGAAGCTAACTGTGTAAACGTTCTTCAGTAAAAGGAAAGAAGGGAAGAATGATTAGAAATGAATGAACACTTAGTTTCTCCATCTCACTCACCCTCTCAATGCGCTCAAAGTTACTATGAAACATATTGTCATGCATGACAACTCAGAATTCATGAAAACTCAGTTACGCTTAAGAGCAACTGAAGAAATATTATTCCAAATTGTAACATTGAATTTCCTGAACAGTTTAAGTTAAAATAAAACTTTGGGGTTCTGCTTTTGTTCTAAAACTTTTGATTTGAAATATAAAGGACTATTACTGATTATCACTAATAGGTAGCATTTTCTTCTGATTTAAATCTATCTTGCTAAATCTTCCTTGAAAACACTCTCATTGATCCCTTGAATCCTTCTACCAATTAATTGCTTATGTTTTATAGCTGAGTCTGACCATAGTCTCTGTCTGCATTCTTTCTCAGTGATGAGTCCAGGGTAAAGATGTTCATTGCTACTAAATGTATAAAGACACTCTGGAGGAATTTTTTAAGAATCAGATACAATTTAAATTTTAAAAATAAACCAAATATTTCACAGTTTAATTTTCTTAAAATGAAAACAGTATTAGTCATTGCTGACAAAATTGAAACAGTAACATTGTAGACAGCAACAAAATACAAAAGCTAAGAGTGTAAAAATCACTCCCATCCCAAAGCTGTATAGAAGCATAACTTTCTATCTATATAATCCATTCATTCATGTATTCATGCAGCCATGCAGTCATTCACTTGTTTTATTTTTTACAACCTTGCCCCTTTCCTCTCTCTTCCTCTCTATATTCATACCGAATCATGACAGGTATGTTCATTTGTAACTTCTTTTTCTCACTTTTTATGTGGGGGATATCTCTGTCAGTAAATTTAGATTTCAATCTCACTTTTATTAGCAGGTCATTCCATTGTAGGAATGTGCAAGGATTTATTTACGCAACCCCCAGTAGTTGGGCATTTAGTGCTTAAAATGTTCATTTGAAAAGTCCTGGATTTTGTTGGAGTGAAAACAAGGAATCTTTTAATGCAGGCTATTTTCCCCCGCAGTGTTCCAGGCCAAGTTAAGTGACATAAATGTTGTAAAATGTATAATCTGTTTTTGATTCCAATTTTCAAATCATAGAGTCTTGGATAGTTCAAATAAAACTACTGTGCAGACTTTTTAATATTTATAAAATATTTCAATTTCTGCTTCATATTTTAGTTGCAAATAATTCCTGGTTACTGAAAAGTACCTTTAAAGAACCATCATTTCCACGTATACAGGCTATTCATTTTCTGGACAGTTTTCCATTCTCATGTATATACCTTTTGCATGTGGATGAGAGTCAGGCTTTGGAAGATTAAAACTCTGAGCAAAAAGAGGTCAATATGGACTCTTAGGGATTAAATTCTGTACATACTTTCCTTTTTCCTGTCCCCAAGCTTCTCAGGGTGGGTGTCTATGGCTATTTGCAAGTCAGAAACTGTAACTAGGCACAATGAAGACCCCAAAAGTTCTGTTCCAGTCTTTAAACCTCATAGCTCAGTGGTGATTTTCTCTTTTTTCCCAAATCCCTTTGTCTCCCATCACAATGCTTTAAAATAATTTTAACTGGAGGAAGCAGCTAAAATGAATTGTTGGGTCATAGCAGGATAATTAACGATTTGTAAGTATGATTACCATTTTATTTTTATTCGTGTTTAAAAAATTGCGTATTTATTTATTTATTTTTGGCTGCTCTGGGTCTTTGTTGCTGCGGGCACACTTTCTCTAGTTGCAGTGAGCTGGGCCTACGCTTGAGTTGCCGTGTGTGGGCTTCTCATCGTAGTGGCTTCTCTTGTTGTGGAGCATGTGAGACCTTCCTGGACCAGGGATGGAACCTATGTTCCCTGCACTGGCAGGCAGATTCTTAAACACTGGACCACCATGGATGTGTGGCATTTTCTTTTTAAAAACAAACTCATTACTTTTAGAATTCCAGATGGTGATTGCAGTGATGAAATTAAAAGATGCTTGCTCCTTGGAAGAAAAGCTATGACCAACCTAGACAGCATTATTAAGAAGCAGAGACATTACTTTGCCAACAAAGGTCTGTCTAGTCAAAGCTATGGATTTTCCAGAAGTCATGTATGGATGTGAGAATTGGAGTATAAGGAAAGCTGAGCACAGAAGAATTGATGCTTTTGAACTGTGGTGTTGGGGAAGACTCTTGAGAGTCGCTTGGACTGCAAGGAGATCCAACCAGTCCATCCTAAAGGAAATCAGTCCTGAATATTCATTGTAAGGACTGATGCTGAAGCTGAAACTCCAATACTTTGGTCACCTGATGTGAAAAAAATGACTCATTTGAAAAGACTCTGGTGCTGGGAAAGATTAAAGGCAAGAGAAGAAGGGCCAACAGATGAGATGGTTGGATGGCATCACCAACTTGATAGACATGAGTTTGAGCAAGCTCTGGGAGTTGGTGATGGTCAGGGAAGCCTGGTGTGCTGCAGTCCATGGGGTTGCAAAGAATCGGACATGACTGAGTGATTGAACTGAATTGAAAAATTTACTAATATTTGATGATGATTATTATCAGATTTTATTGGGTTGATCAATAAGTTTGCTCAGGTTTTTTTGTAACACCTCATGGAAAAGGTGGACTTCCCTGGTGGCTCAGATGGTAAAGTGTCTGCCTACAATGTGGGAGACCCAGGTTCAAACCCTGGGTCAGGAAGATCTCCTGGAGAAGGAAATGGTAACCCACTCCAGTATTCTTGCCTGGAAAATCCCAAGGATGGAGGAGCCTGGTAGGCTACAGTTCAGAGAGTCGCAGAGAGTTGGACACGACTTCACTTTCACTTTCACTTTATGGAAAAATCTAAACAAAATTTCTGGCCAACCAACATGAGAGAAAAGCTGTGGCTTGTGTTTCTCTCTCTTGTGGGTTAGTGCCTATTGAAGAGTCGATGCAGAATAGTCAAGTGGAATCAGGCGCTGCTAGGTTGCTGCAGCAATAAAGAAAAGATACTGTAGATATTCATAACAGGAGACTTTGCAGTCCCATCAAAGCCAAGTCTTTGCTGATGGTTCTCGCTACATGCCATTTTCAAAGAAAAGGTGGCTTGACTTCTAAGCTGTGGACAAGATGTTAAATACTAATGATCATGGTATAAACTATTACTTATTATTTGAGTAAACTAACAGATTCCAGAAAAAAAATTAAGATTGATAATAAAGCTATATACAAGACAGGAAGATAAACTAAATCTAATACAGATGATATGATAGTGAGGAAAAGACAAAAGTAGTGTTGGAAAGGAAGAAAGAACCAGAAAAGAGATTAATAATAAAAAGTACATACTATGAAGTGCTGTGTATGTGGAAAGGAGTTTGGAATCTTTTTAATACTATTTTCCTAAGTTTAGTTGATCATGATAATTTTTAGAAGTACTTCAATCTTGCTTTATCATTTATGCAGAGCTAAGGATAGGGTTCCTGGGTGGCTCAGACAGTAAAGCGTCTGCCTACAATGCAGGAGACCCGGGTTCAATCCCTGGGTTGGGAAGATCCCCTGGAGAAGGAAATGGCAGCCCAATCCAGTATTCTTGCCTGGAAAATCCCATGGACAGAAGAGATTGGCAGCCTACAGTCCATAGGGTCGCAAAGAGT